CACCTTGTTATCTCAGATTCTCCAGCATCTGCAGTTCCTACTATCTCTGCTGACTTTTGGATTGGCTTTCAGCTGTCTAAAGTGGGACTTCCTCCTTAGATGGTATGGAAGTCTCACAAAAACAATTAACACTGATCCCAGCACTTAACTGCTCAGGAGCAGCATGATTATGGGGGATGGGCTCACTACAGACTATTTTGCTGGGAAACTGGGGACCAAGCTCCCTATAAAATCCAGCCCTACGTCATGATGTTAGTACAATTTTCCACATTGCAGTTCATGAGCTGAAAGCCAGCTGGCACAGTTAACAGGAATATCTCCAAACCTGCTGCAGTTACTGAATTTCAAAAGATAGAGAGTCCTGTATGGCTGACCAACGATGCTTAAGGGGTTGAAGGCAGATAGGTAATGGCAGACATCTAAAGAACACATGGATGAATTTCAACAATTATACATCCCTGTCTGGCGTAAGAGTGAAACAGGGAAGGTGGCTCAACCATGGCTAACAAAGGAAATCAGGGATAGTGTTAAACCAAAGAGGAGGCGTATAAATTGGCCAGAAAAAGCAGCAAACCTGAGGACTTTGTGAAATTTAAAATTCAGCAGAGGACGACCAAGGGTTTGATTCAGAAGGGGAAAATAGAATACATGAGTAAGCTTGTGGAAAACATAAAAGCTGACTGCAAAAACTTCTATAGATGTGTGAACAGAAAATGACTGGTGAAGACAGATTTAGGTCTCTTACAATTAGAATCAGATAAATTCATAATGGACAACAAAAAAATGGCAGACCAGTTGAGCAAATACTTTGGATCTGTCTTCACTGAGGAGGACACAGATAATCTTCTGGAAATGGTACGGGACCGAGGATCAAGCATGAAGGAGGAACTGAAGGAAATCCTCATTAATCCGGAAATGGTATAGAGGAAATTGATGGGATTAAAACCAGGTAAGTGTCCAGGGCCTGATGCTTCGCATCCCAGAGTACTTAAGGAAGTGGCCCTAGAAATAGCAGATGCATTGGTAATCATTTTCCAGCATTCTGTAGACTTCAGAAGAGTTTCAATGGACTCGAGGGTAGTTAATGTAACCCCACTTTTAAAAAAGAAGGGAGAGAGAAAACAGGGAATTACAGGTCAGTTAGCCTGACATCAGAGGTGGGGAAAATGCTGGAATCAATTATTAAGGATGTAATAACTGAGCATTTGGAAAGCAGTGACAGAATTGATCCAAGTTAGCATGGATTCACTAAAGGGAAATCATGCTTGACAAATCTTCTGGGATTTTTTGAGGATATGACTCACGGAGTGGACAAGGGTAGATCAGTGGATGTTGTGCATCTGGGCTTTCAAAAGGCTTTTGACAAGGTCCCACACAAGAGATTAGTAAGCAAAATTAAAGCTCACGGTATTGGAGGTAAAGTGTTGACATAGATAGAGAACTGGTTGGCAGACAAGAAGCAAAGAGTTGAAATAAATGGGTCCTTTTCAGAGTGACAGGGAGTGACGAGTAGGGTGCCGCAGGGTTCAGTGCTGGGACCCCAGCTGTTCACAATATACATTAATGATTTGGATGAAAGAACTGAATGCAATATCTCCAAATTTGCAGACGACACTTAAGCTGGGTGGCAGTGTATGCTATGAGGATGAAGCCAAGAGGCTGCTGGGTGACTTGGACAGACTGGCTGAGTGGGCAAATACTTGGAAAATGCAATATGATGTGGATAAATGTGAGGTTACCCACTTTGGTGGCAAAAACAGGAAGGCAACTTATTATCTGAATAATGGCAGTTTCGGAAAAGGGGCAACGGGACGTGGGTGTCACAGTAGAATAGCTGCTGGTGTTTGGCATGCAGGTACAGCCGGCGGTGAGGAAAGCTAATTGCATGCTGATCTTCATAGCGAGAGGATTTGAGTATCAGAGTAGGGATGTCTTGCTGCAGTTATACAGGGCCTTGGTGAGGCCACACCTTGAGGACTGCGTGCAGTTTTGGTCTCTTAGTCTGAGGAAGGACATTCTTCCTATTGAGGAACATCAGCGAAGGTTCACCAGACTGATTCCTGAGATGGCAGGACTGACATATGAAGAAAAATTGGATCAACTGGGCTTGCACTCACTGGAATTTAGAAGGATGGGGAAAGATCTCATAGAAACATAAAACCCTGACAGGCTAGATGCAGGAAGAATGTTCCCAATGTTGGAAAAGTCCAGAACTAGAGGTCACAGTCTAAGAATAGTCATTCAGAACTGAGAGGAGGAAGAATTTCTTCACTCAGAGAATTGTGAACCCGTGGAATTCTCTACCACAGAAAGCTATTGGGGTCAGTTTGTTAGCTGTACTCAAGAGGGAGCTGGATGTGGCCCATGTGGCTAAAGGGATCAGCGGATATGGAGAGAAACCAGGAGTGAAATACTGAAATTGCATGATCAGCTATGATTATATTGAATGTTGGTGCAGACTCAAAGGGCTGAATGGCCTATTTCTACACCTATTTTCTATGTTTCTATCATTCTATGTATGGATTTGTGATTGTCTAAAAAGGCTCTTCCAGTGGACAAGACTCAGTAAAAGACAGTTCAAACAGAAAATGTACCTTATGGAATTCATTAGAGTTGTAAGCACAATTTATATTTTGACCTTCAAATGGATTCCCAGCTTTTTACCTGCACAACCGTCACAATGTCCCTTCATCTAAAGCAGTCCCAATTAGATAGTCGAACACATAAGGCAGGCAGCGTTGTAAGATCAAAATAAAAATAATTGAGGTTGAACCAACTTAGATCTAATGTACTCCAGCAGTTCTACACGCCCACTAAATTCCATTAAATTAATTACACAGAAGTATCTGGTATAAATACTACACCAGAGGTAAGTCTTAAGGTGCATGAGCCAAGTGCAGAGAAGAATCTTGTGGATGGATTCTTACTGTATCATGATAACAACACGATAACATTGATGCCAGTTCTGTGGTGAGTTGTTAGTTTGATTGAGAAATGATTTGCAGATTAGCCCTACAAGCAGCTGTTAAAACCCCTATCTTGCGTGCTGCGATAGTAGATTCAGACAACAGCAGGAAATAACATGGAATTTTGACAGTCAGATGTGTAATTAATGCTGTTGTTTCTTGACCAATCCTCTTACAATAGTATCAGATACTTCACACCCTTCAGTTTCATTTACCAATATAAGCACAGCTTATTGACCAGACTTAGACATACCTCAGCATCAAAGGAAACTGGCTATCCATAAGCCAAACAAGAAGAATGAGCATAGAATAATATGACAGTAAAGGAGTCTAAGAAAAAGAGGGAAAGGATCTCATCCTGCTCAGTTTTATTTGTTTTGTGAACACCGTTCCCAGCTGGGATTTTATTGGATTGAATTACAAATGCACAGATATTAGGCAGTCCTGAGGAAATGATATTTGAACTGGTAGTAGATAGCATTTATTGTCTGCATGGTAAATATTTATACAATACCTGATCTAGAGTGGCTTGGCTAATGGAATAGTGTTTGATATTGAGTTCCGCTTTGTTGTTCTCAAGAAACTGGAACATCTTTGCTAAATCTCCTTGTCTCTGTGGTATCTCATACTCTAGAGAATATTGATGTTGTTCCTAGGATAAAAGAATGCAGTGAAGGTGAAGTGCATAGATTAAATCTTACTTGACAACATTGTATTGAGTTGAATTGCAGATTGCAAATTGAGTCCTTTATTCACCAGAAGGAGAAAAGCCCTCAGCTCTCCCATTAATCACCACACATTCAATTTAGAAACTTTATATTTTATTTTCTCTCCTTTTTCCTTTGTATAAGAGGTCTTAAAATAAACATATCCTCAGGAGCTGATGATTTTCACCACAGAACATTGAAAAATGTAGGTGGAGAAATGGTTGGCACATCTTTCCACATTTTTTCTAGAGTTCTGTAAATTTAGGACCTGTTAAGATTCCAACTGCCATTCCAATATTCATGAAGGGAGACAAGAAGAGAATAATTTTTCACATTTAAAAAAAAGTTCACAAAATACTCATGTTAACATCAAGTATCAGTGAAGTGTTGGAATTTCTCAGAAACAGGTGACTGGTCTGGATGCCTCCAGGAAGGAGGGAAATTATATCAAGTGGGCTTCATGACACATTCCTGCTTCTATAGAATTCTGCTTTGAGACAGCATTAGAGCAGGACTGGTTATATCCATGGCCCTTTGAAAACTTAATTAGGGCCACTTTCCTGATGCCATCTAGATTTTTTACCAGGCATCCAGGGGACATATTATGCCAATAGGTCATCAGTGAAACATTGGCAGGGTCCTAGCACTGGGCTGGGTTTTCATGGGCACCAGAGGCTTCATTGAATGGGAAGGTACCACGCAAATATGTGGCCATAACTGTGTCAATACTCATCACTCTGGTGGGCTTTCCCCATTCTCTTCAATGATTCAAACCCTTCTGGCTTTCCTTTATGTACCATCTGTGGCCAGTGATAGGAATAGAGATGTCCTCATGCCCTTGAGATACTTCATCAGCTTCAAAACCTAACAGCAGGCCTGCTGATCTTTAAGTGCTGCATGGCCTTCTACTGGCCTTCCAGCCTCGGCAGCCTACCCAACATCCTTAATTGGATTCGGCTGCTGAAGGTAAGTGGTCATGTAACTGATCACCTGGTCCAAAATCTCCTTCAGGGTCCCTCTCCTGACATTTCCCAACAACGAAATCAAGATATTGAACCAAAAATTCTGTTTGAAAAGACTGCAAGTTAGGACAAGTACAAGATGATCAAAAGGTGCACTCATGAATGATACTTAATGTCTGATTAAACTTTTTTTGGATGAGGTCACTAGCACAGTGGAAGCTCCAGATATTGTTTGCAATAACCTCAGAATATTTGTTAAGATTCTATCTCAGAGATCGTAGGCAAAAGAATTGAAATTAATCTTACAGCCTGGTTGGAGTGGATAGTAAAGGAGAAAATTCTCTATTTGGAGGTAACATGGAGTACTAACTGGGAATATGTATTTGGTCTCAGCTTCTAAGTAATAGTATTAATTAAGTAGATGATATTCAAACGTGCACATGATACTAAGTACTTGAAGCATAGTACATTGTGTATATTGGATAAGGTAGTTACTAATAGAAATTTACAGTACCTGCAGTTCTTTTAGTTTTTAGTTACAAATATACTTTGATTAAGTGACTGGGCAAAAACCAGGCCTGATGGAGTTTAGTGTGGGACACATGAGCTCATATTCTTTGGATCAGTGAAAGCCAAATCAATGATTGTATACATTGTGAGAGTCGAAACTGCATAGATTACTAAATGTTGGGGCACAGGTACAGATAGTAATCAAAAAGGTTAATGGAACTGTATCCAACTTTTATTTCAAGGGAGTTGGAACATAGAGTAATTATTGCTTCACTTGTACAAAGCCATTGCCAGCATTTTTAGGACGGTGGAGTTTCCCTTCCCACCTCCTACAGAGTTGGAGGAAAATGCATAGGAAAGAACTTTTTCACATAGTTTAAGTCTTTCCTTTGAACTTACACAATTTTCTAAGTTCACTTTCTAATAGAGCATGGTTGTCAGTTTTTATGTTATATAAAATACCTTTAAGATTGTGCCTGGGAAGTGCACCTCCAACAGGTCTGTGAGCTGCATTGAGACAGCTAATTTTCGGCTGAGGCCTACTTTAAGTGAATAGATCTCACCAAACCTAAAGATAAAGAAAGCAACAGGTTATAATAAACTGAAGGTAAGGTATAAATATAAAATCATTTACAAATGTGTATTATTTTACTGGATCAGTCGACATAAACCAAGAAAGAAGAGTTTACATTTAATTTGGCCCAGTTTCCTGGATCATTGCAAGTGGCACTTTACACTGAAATATAAATACATTCCTGCACCAATATCACTTACAGTAACTTCTACCTTCATTTCTTCATGAATTCCTTTGTATATGGCAGGTAAGCAAACCTACGTAAACCTTGATCTCAGAATTTCCTTCATTGTTAATAAGCTGTGAGACACCGGGTAAGCAGAAATATTTATCCAATGAGTGAGGGGTGTGGGGTATGCTCTTTTTTGACTGAATGAACTTGGTTAATTGATGAAGATCACTGTTGTGATGAGCGCCATCACGTTTAAATATCTATGTTGAACTGATTAAAGTTGTTCTAATGCCAATATATTCTTTAAAATTTTTGGATGTCAGATTTTGTAAATTAAAATTTTCAGACCTATATAAGCAGGATCACACATCCTCTACAGACATACCATTAGTGGCTGAGGAAAAAAGTACAAGGAAGAGTTGACAGCTTCTACGAGTAAAGCACATGACTTTCTTCAGTCTGAATATGGCCACTGTAGTTTCAATTGGAAAGAAATGTGCTCCCAGTTTACACTGACAATGAAGATAAAAATTAGGAGCAGGAGTAGACCATGTGGGCCCTCAAAACTGCTCTGCCATTCAATAAGATCATGGCTGATTCTTTTGTTTTCAATTCCACATTCTCATGAATTCCTGATAAGTTCGGTTCCATTAACTAACAAATATCTTGCTAATGCTGCCTTAAAAATATTCCATTTAAGTAATAGACAGTTTTTTTCATTTTTCTCACCAAAGTGAATGATGTCACATTTTTTCACATTACACTTTATGTTCAAGCACTCGACATATTATATCAATCTGAAACCTTGCTATATCATCTTCACAACATATTTTGCTGTTTACCTTTATGCCATATTTTAAACTTTGTTCCCCTCATCTAAGTCATTGATATAAATTGTACAATATTGAAGCCCCAGCAAGATTTCACTTGTCACATCCTGCCAAATCAGCAAAAGACCCACTTGTGGATTTTTTTTTGCCAGCTAATCTTCTTTTTATGGTAGTATGTTGCCTCCAATATCATGAGTTCCTACTTTTATGTGGCACCTTGCCAACTGTCTTCTGGAAATCCAAGCTCATTACATCAATGCTCCACTTTAGCCACTGTGCATATTACTCCTTCAAAAGAGCTCCAATAAATTGGTTAAACATGATTTCCCATTCCAAAACCCATACTGGCTCTTCCTAATAACCTTAAGGATTTCTAAGTGCATGGCTGTAAACTCCTTATTGATCAATTCTAATTCCTTCCCCATGATTCCTTCCCTGAACAAAGTTTCCTATTTTCTGCCTCCATCCCTTTTTGGAAGTGGGGGGATGGGGTGGAGAAGTATCCCGGTTACTTCCAAACTGATAGAATGTTTCCTGAATCTAGCGAACTTTGGAAACAACACCAATGCATTTGCTACCTTTTTAGTAACCTATTTTAAGACTCTGAGGAAACTAATTAGGGCTCAGGGGCTTGTCAGTGTATAGCCATATCAATTTGCTCAGTAATGTTTCCCTGCTGATGCAATTTCATCAAGCTCTTCTCCTCCTCCTGCCTTCTGACTTATAGTTATTTTCTAAGATGTTTTTTATATTCTCCATAGTGAAGACAGAAGAAAAATATTGCAATATTTCATCTGCCATTTCCTTACTGCTTACTATTAACTCCCTATTCTCACTTTCTAGAGGACCAACATTCACTTTACCAATTCCTGGAGAAGCTCTTACTATCCAATTTTACATTTCTATCTAGCTTCCTCTCAGTCTAATTTCTTTCTCCTGATTAACCTTTAAGTCATTCTCTACAGTTCCCTATATCCTGACCAATCATCTGATTTGACATGCACATTTGTGAAATATGCTTTTTCATTAAATTTGATGCACTCTTGAACATATTTCGTTAATTGCAAATGGTACTCCTCAACTTGGAAATTCCCTCATGTAAGATTATACTTAACCTGAGTATTTTGAAATATTCCTTCAATATCTGCTATAGTTTATCTAGTGATTTATCTTCCAGTCTCATATCCTAGCTCACTCCCATTAGATCAGCTAGTTACTTAGACCCACTCTTCTCACTTTCAACTGGACATAAAATATAATTATATTGTGGTTGCTGCTACCTAGAGGTATCTTCACTTTGAGACCATTAACTAATCCTGTCTCATTACACAATACAAAGTCTAATGTAGCCATCTGTCTGGTTAGTTTCATAACATGGCTACCTTTAGTCATCTGGAAAACATTCTATGCTAGAATGCTATTCTTATCTAGGCTACCATTGCAGTGTTTGTGTAGTATCTCCCTGTCAATTGCATGATTTTTTTGTTACTTTATGTGTGGCATTTAAATTGTTGGCTGTTTGTTGTGCACCATGTGGGCTTTGTTTTTTGGATCAATGACAAATATCATGTTGGCTGAATGGGATGCTGAACAGCCAGAATTAGATGAGCATAGATAGCTTGATAGGCTGCAAAAGTGCAGGAGGTTACAGGGACAAGAAACGGCAAGGCTATGGTGGGATTTAAAACTAACAGTGACATTGTTAAAATTAAAGCATTTCTTAACCAGGAGCCACCGTAAGTGTGGGTGCATAGACTGTAGTGCATAACTATTATAAAGTGTGTGTGCACTTGAGTGTGTGTGTGTGTGTGATGTTGTTTTTATAGAACCATACTGGAACTTTCTGATGTGGAGTATGATACACCAAAATGATCATCATGATCTCCTGAGTTGATGAAGCTAGTTAAAATTCAGGTACCATGATCCTCCAAAAGGGGACCACCAATGCTGTTTTGGTGCAGGACTACAAAGCTTTACTGGAGCTTTCTGAAGGGGACAGTGGTACACCAAACTGATTGCCATGAGTTCTTACTTTGAGTAGATGAATGAAAATGTAGCTACCACAAACCCTCAAATAATAAGAAATGTCTTTGCATCAATTTCTTAGCACTGCATTTGCTATTGCTGTACTGCATTTAGAACAGTGCCAAGTACAGGAATGGCTTAGGGGAGCAAAAAAAAATTTGAAATTATTGAAGTGCTAGAAAGCTGGGAAAGGAGTGCATCACTTGATTCTCCCAATTGAGGGCTCTTTTAAATCAGCATTTGAAGAAAGTGGAGCATACTTAAAGTCTTCTTCCAGATTGCCATGGAGGAAGATTAGTAAGGTGGATGAATAACTGTGACAAGTTGGAACTATACAGTACTGCTGCTGCTTCAGCTGAAACAACCTGATCTTTCTGACACCCAGTTGATCAACAGAGCTGATAGCTCTCATTCAATGTAAAAATCAACCTAAACTTTGTCCATTAGGCCAATGGGCCATTAAGGCAAAAGCAACAAACTTTTGGATGTGCTTAAGTTTATGCAGTTTGGAGATTAGCCAGGAGTGCACTGGTTTAGCTAAATCTTGAGGTATCATGGCGTGAATAAAGGATAAATAGATGTGGCACACTTGAAAGCAGTTTAGGATCGATGGGTTCCCTTGGCTGTAACACATACCTGTTTAGTATGTCCTTGGGACAGCCAACACATTTTAATTTACCATTTACCATAATGGCAAGTCTTGTACACAAAGCTTCACATTCCTCCATGCTGAAACAAAATAAAATGAAAAAAATTAGCATAAAAAATGTCAATGCAATCAACACAAATGATGAAGACCAAAGGTGACCATTTTTGACCTACTGTGTAAACTGTATCATATATATGAATATTCATCTTTATTTGAGCAAGGCAGTTTATTCATTCAAGAAATGCAGACTTCTCTGGCTATCCAACATTTATGGCCTATGCCTAGTTGCCCTTATGGTGGTGGTGAGTTGTTTTCTTGAACTTCTACTGTCCATGGGTATATTTACACTCACAAAACTGTTAGGGAAGTTGTGCCAAGATTTTGACTCAGTGACAGTGAAGAAATGGTGAAATATTTCCAAGTCAGGATGATATGTGGCTTGAAAAGGAACTTGCAGATGGCAATGCTCCCATTTTCCTTTTAAATGCAATTTGATTTTACATAACATATGACATAATGTACAATGTTTTTGGTGTTCCAAATGGAACTAGTCATGGGTTTTGAAGGTTCTGTCTAAAAAGTCTTGATGAATTTCTACAGTACCTCTTGTAGATATTACAAACTGTTGCTACTGAGCATTAGCGGCAGAGGGAGTGATTTCTTTGTAATGTGGTGCCAATCAAACAGGCTGCTTTTTCTTGGATGCTTTCAAACTTCTTGAGTGTTTTCAGAGTTCCCCTCACCCAGGCAAGTGGGGAGTATTCCATCATATTGCTGACTCATGCTTTGTAGATGGCAACAGGCTTTGGAGAGTCAAGTTACTTGCTACAGTGTGCCCAGCCTCTGACCTGCTCTTGTAGTCATAGTATTTATATGGTGAGTCCAATTTAGTTTCTGGTCAATAGTAACTTCTAATTGATAGTGGAAGTTTTAGAGTTTTAGTAGTTAAATATCAAGGGACCACTGTGTTTATGTGGCAAGCCCGGATGAGTTTCTGGTCAATGGTAACTCCAAGGATGCTTATAGTAGGGAATTCAGTGATGGTAATATGATTGAATGTCAAGGGCATGGTTAGATTTTCTCTTGTTGGAGCTGGTTATTTCTTGGTATTTGTGTGGCACAAATGTTACTTGCCACTTTTCAGTCCAAGTCTGGATATTGTCCAGGTCTTGCTGCTTTTGGACATGGGCTACTTCAGTATCTCAGGAATGGTGACTGATGCTGAACACTGCAATCATCAATGAACATTCCTACTTCTGACGTTATAATGGAGAAAAGTCATTGATGAAACAGCTAAAGATGGTTGGCCCTAGGACACAAAAGATGATACAATGATAGCGATAGTAATTAAGGACAATGGGAAATAGCAACTGTTGCACTAAGTAACACAACCATTAAGCATCTAAGAGGAAAGAAAGAATCAGAGTAATCAGCCCAGAGGGGAGTTTAGACCTGTGATGGTTCACTGCTGAAGCAATCAGTACATTATGACTCAACTACAAATGTCGTGATTCTCAATAGCAACAGGGTGAATGATAGATACCACAATTGCAGGCCTCTGACTACCCTAAGACCTGCCCTTTTATTTTTATCAATGAAACAAAACCAAAGCTCTGCAGATGCTAGAGATCTGAAAGCAAAATGGGAAGTGCTGGAGAAACTTAGCAGGTCTGGCAGCATCTTGCTAGGCAAGACTCATTAATTTTATTACTTCAATCAGTGTTATGCTGTAGCAGACATCAACGTAATTTCTGGCCATTCTATTCAAAGGTATTGAAGGTGCAACTGGAGTCCATTCAAAATTATTCAATCACCCACTATTTTACATAATGCAAGTCATTACAGAACTAGCAACTGACGAAAGAGAATTAGAATAACTACTTTTGTTCCAGCAGTAAGGACAGAATTGTTGAGTCGTTGCACATTATATCATACCTTATGTAAACTCAAGTTGTATTTAAAAGCCACAAGTCCATTTTTTGTAAATTTCTGATGCATAATCACAATGTACAAACGGTGCCGAAAATACAGTCTACAATATCGATAGTTTCCTCTCACCGTAACAGTTGTATTCTTATTTTTAGCTGTCAGTATCAATGGGACATCCTCACTACTGGTTATTAGTGAGGTAATTCAAATAAGTCCTTTCTTCATACTTAAGGTGCTGGTCTTTGAGAGAAGCTGATTAGTATATGCTCTCGTCATTCATAGAAAATTTTCTGATTATTTAAAGTGGTAACACAAATCAACTTTATTCAATAATGTCTTTGTTACATCAAATAGTTAAGATATTGATGTATGTATAGACTGAAACTAATTATCATAGAATCCCTGCAGTGCAGATAGAAACCATTTGGCCCATTGAGTCTGCACCAACCCTCCAAAGACCATCCCACCCAGACCTTACACTCACCCTATCCCCGCAACACCACATTTACCATGGCCAATCCACCTAACCTGCACATTTTTGGACTGTGGGAGCAAACCAAATTGTTCTCATGGAATATATGAATTCAGGAAATCTAGAGAAATAAAGATAGAAAACTGTGAAGCTAGAGATGAGCTTGATGATATTTACACTGATCGCTCTCAGGTTCAATTAAATTGTGCCCCAAAAGTCACCTAAGCCATGGGTAAAAAGCATTCTTTCTGTAATACTGCAAATAGCCCAGCATCATGTCTCTGGCTTGCAAAGCCTGCCTTCATAAATAAACAAAATACTGTTGCTGTTTTACGGTTGCTACAACTCCCAAATATGCAAAATGTTTCGTTGATAGACCTGTGTGAAGTCAGAACTGCAGCACACCCAGCTTCCACTTCATTTATGACTGTCTTCCAGAGATAGCGCTTGCTCTCAGGATCCATTCCTGAACTCGGCTCGTCCTAAATATAAAGAACCATCAAAACATTATTCTCAGAACACGTGTTTGCTTTGATCATAGACTGACAGTTGAAACATTTAAGCTCCATCATCATTCTTACCCAGCTTTTCATTGGTTAATATCAAGATTAGTTTTATCAAGCTTTTATAGAAACATACAGCAGATCTTTTCTTTATCGATGTGGTTCCCTTATTGCACAGACTATACCATAACTAGATTCATGTTGCAACATTTAAGCAGTAGACCTCCCAATGCGCTGTACCATGTTGGTTTGAAAGTGGTGTCCAGTCAATATAAGATCTGCCTGTGTAGGAACCCTGAGGCGGTCCTGAAAATGCACTGCAATTGCTTAGCAAATTTACACTTCCATTGGGCAGACTTTTATTGTCCCAGACCCTCAGTGGTTGACTCTTGCAGTGTTGGTGGCTTGGGCTTGATAAGTGATACTTACCTTGTTACTAACAGTAGATTAGTTACACTGTTTGATCTCAGGTGTAACTCAGTGATTAACAGTGCAACCCAGTCCACCATCCGTCACACATTCACTCCCCTGTCCATACCTCAACCCTTTCTGACCTGTTGACTTATCACCTGAGCCAACCCAACTACTCACATCCTTCAAATTGACTACCCTCCCTCCTGAATTCACCATCCAACCCCAACTAAATCCAGTTGATCTGACTACCTAATCCCTGCCCTAGTCAGATTACTCTTGACCCAACTGGTCAATCTTCAAGTCTGACCACACACCCTGACCCAACTGACTACCTAAATGACCTAATCTAACTACCCAACTGAATGCCTCTGATCCATCTACTCACCCCAACAACCCACTCTAGGCCTAAATGCTCATGCGAACTGGCTGCACAACTTCAAAGAACAAAGAACAGTACAGCAAGGAACAGGCCTTTCAGCCCACCAAGCCTGTGCTGACACATGACACCTTTCTAAACTAAAAACCTTTTGCCTCTACGCGGTCCGTATCCCTCTACTTGCCAATTCGTGTATCTGTCATGATGCCTCTTAAATGAATGTTTCAACCTCCCACCCGACTACACCCCGACCCAATCACACCCCCGATCCTACTACACGTCAGAGTTCAGAAGAGCAATGGGTGATTTGATTGAAGTTTAAAAGATCCTGAATTATTTTGATAAGGTTGATGCAACAAAAAAATTGCTTCCTCTTGTGGGTGAATTCAGAACTAGGGGACAAAGTCTTAAAATTAGGAAGCACCCTTTAGAACACAGGTGAGGGGAATTTAGTTCTTTCAGAGGATTGTGCAACTTTGGAACATGTTGCCTCAGGAAGCAGTGGAGGCAGGATCATTAAATATTTTTAAGAGGGATGTGTATATATATTCTTGTTAGGCAAATTAAAGTTTATCCAGGATAGATAGGAACATGGAACATAGAACATGGAAAATAAAAGAGCTCAGTCATTTATTATTGAATGTCATGGCCAAATGATCTACTTCTGTTTCCAATTTGTATGTTCACATGACCGGTATTCTGGGCCAGCCTGTGGACCACACTTTAAGAATCAGTTTCCTAACTACTTCATGCCTAAATTGACATAGGCCATTGCCAACAAATAACCTCTGTGTTCCATAATATGAGTTCCTGGCAACTGAAACACTGCAATATTCAACTCAAGTTTTAAATGGCCCTTATATTTTCTCATGGTCTTTTTCATAATGTCGTTACTTTGCATAATGTTATGTTCATGCACGCAATTTGTTAAAGAAGACAATGCATACTGAAAGTGGTAATATTGAAAGATTAACACAGAAAACTCTCTTCTGAATAACATATTGCCGAAAAATGTAAGACTAATTAAAAAAAGATGATCTATTAATTGCTTATCAAGACGCAGAAAATTTTACATCACAGATCTCACCAGTAAAAGGACTTGAGGACTACCAATCAATGCCAAGATTGTTGATAGTTTTCTCTTTGTACCACCACTGTACGTTTTCACTAATTTATTGACATGGGGGGTCAGGTACAGGCGATGAACAAGATTATGAATATGCTGCAATGATCAGAAAAAAAGAAAACATTGTGTTAATGAACTTCATGACAGTCATAGCGAAGACAAATATATTTATTTACTATGTCACAGCTCACATATGTTAATGGACTGAAAGATAAGGTCCACATAAACTCTACTAGTTTGACAAGTTTCAACCCAGTTCCATTCTGTAAATGAAACAAAACTTTGCAGGCGTGTATCAGTAATTCATGCTGAAACTAACAATAGACAATCACAAAGAAAAGTCCCAGCTTTTATTGGCAATAAGAGTTTCAACAGATTGGTTCAGATCAATGGGCTGTGAGGAGCTCAGGTTTCACCCATATATGGCCAAATTATAATTGCCTTTTAGAGTCCAAATATTGTAATATTTTTAATCATCCAATTTCATTCCCAATGCAAAATGAAGGTGTTATAAATAACATGAAACTTTTGCAAATTGAATTAAAAATAATTTCCAGAAATCTTTATCCTCTACTGCTACTTATTGTCCAAAAGTCAGATATGTTTAAAATTGGCTAAGAAAAAGTGAAAAGCATTTTACATTAATGACTTGGATCAAGATTTAATCCACGGTGTGATCATACAGAAGCAATCGAAAAATGTTGCTATTTTGCTACACAACAAATCTTTCCTTTCTATGACCATGTTGTTTACTCCTTATTTATTTATGAAGACCAATGCCAATTTTTTGACAAAGGCAGCAAAACACTGATCCATGTAAGGGAACAGATAACATGCAACATGGTTAATATTCTGTTAGAAAGGTCAGGAAAGATAATACATCAATGTGATTCGGTAAGAAGCCTCTGCCGTATAAAATGCATACTTCTTTTTGTGCCAGAGGTACTTGAAATGAAACAACAGAGGCAGTAGCTGTGAAAGTTCACTGCTGAGTCAGACAGACAGCAGTGTAGGTTTCTTTCTCATTGATTTACTTCCCACCGTGTCATCAGTGCCTTCTTCCTTTTTTAAAGTGTCGTTGTTTTGATCACTTTTTCCACAAAGTTTCAAAAAGAATGCAACACATTATAAAACAGTGATTACTGCTCCTACATTGCAAGGATATCAGCTCCAACCCTGGAAATGCCTCAAAAAAAAGCAGATCTCTTACAGCAAGAAATATTTCCCATCCTCCATCTTAGGTTACCCAGAATCCTTTACACGGAATACAGGAAGAACTACCTATCTGGATACAGAACTGGCTCAAAGCTGGAAGACAGAGGGTGATGGTGCAGGGTTGCTTTTCAGACTGGAGGCCTGTGACCAATGGTTTGCCACAAGGATTGGTGCTGGGTCCGCTGCTTTTAGTCATTGATATAAATGATTTGCATATGAACACAGGGAGATATGGTTAGTAAGTTTGTAGACGACACCAAAATAGGAGGTGTTGTGGACAGCGAAGAAGGTTACCTCAGAGTACAACAGGATCTTGATCAGATGGGCCGAGGAGTGGCAGATGGAGTTTAATTTAGATAAATGTGAAGTGCTGCATTTTGGAAAGGCAAATCAGGGCAGGATTTATACACTTGTAAGGTCCTGGGGACTGTTGCTGAACAAAGAGACCTTGGAGTGCAGGGTCATAGTTCCTTGAAAGTGGAGTCGCACGTAGACAGGGTAGTGAAGAAGGCGTTTGGTATGCCTGCCTTTATAGGTCAGTGTAATGAGTATAGGAGTTAGGAGGTCTTGTTACAGCTGTACAGGACATTGATTAGGCCAGTTTTAGAGTACTGCATGCAATTCTGGTCTCTCTCCTATAGGAAGGATGTTATGAAACTAGAAAGGATTCAGAAAAGATTTATGAGGATGTTGCCAAGATGGGAGGGTTTGAGCTATATGGAGAGGCTGAATAGGCTGGGGCTATTTTCCCTGGAGCGTCGGAGGCTGAGGGGCGACGTTATAGAGGTTTATAAAATCATGAGGGGCATGGATAGGGTAAATAGACAAGGTCTTACCCAGGGCTGGGGAGTCCAAAACTAGAGAGCATAGGTTTAAGGTGAGAGGGGAAAGATATAAAAGGGATCTAAGAGGTAACTTTTTCACGCAGCAGGTGGTGCCTGTATGGAGTGAGCTGCATGAGGAGGTGGGTACGATTACAACATTTAAAAGGCATCTGGATGGGTATATGAATAGGAAGGGTTTAGAGGGATATGGGCCAAATGCTGGTAATTGGAAATATTTTTATATAGGATATCTGGTCAGCATGGATGAGTTGGACCAAAGGGTCTGTTTCCATGCAATATATCTCTATGACTCTATGCCCATTTAGTAGGAGATGTCAATCAGGCAAAGCCAAGGTCTTAATCAGGCCTCAACTGGTTCCACTACTCTTGGAGGAAAAAAAAAGGCAAGAAGATAGTTGAAATAGAATGGCAGTCTTCCCCACTCCTGCCCCACTGTGATCTGACTTCCTGCTACTTTAAGTTGCAGGCAATAGGGACATTAGGTCCTAACGATGGGTAAAAATCTGTTGGGAAGGGCAGGCAGGGTCTGAAAAGCCCAGCAAATTTAATTTTTAGAAAAAATATTGGTAATGTTTCCTTGTAGACCAAGTGGAGCAGCATTTCTCCAGTCAATGATTACTTACTCATGAATCTGCTAACTGGGGCATCCCTGTTGGAAGGTTACTACCTTGTATCAGGGTCTCTGGCTTTAGCCTTTTGCTGTGGATTTAATGGTTGGACAGGCTCTTCCTGCTAACTTTATGGTCCTTTTGATGGGCAGGTGGCCTGCCTATCTCATTATGAGCACATCCCACCCAGGAGATAAAACTGAGTCCTGTGTGTCTAAACAATCTCCATGGGGTTTTTCTGGTTTCCCTGCAGGTAAAGTTTTTACTGAATTAATTTACTTTTACTGCTTTGGGATATTAATTTGTATCAACAGTAAAATGCAGGTTAGATTTCACTTAGCTGAAGAACAGTGCAGAGCTGTCAAGAAATGTCATCTGCATGAAGCACAAGCACTTTAAGTAGTTTCACACATGTAAGGTTCATGAAATGCAGACACTTAAGCAGTTTGACTATAGCATCATACTGCAACCTGTTTGAGGATTAACTGGCTATAATTCTCTCATTTTACTTCGTACAAAGAATAAATAACACAGCACCAAGCTGGTAAGTGCCCACATTTCTATGATAAATGTGCTGGACGTTTACTGAAAAAGATTTCTCACAATGTATAGCATAAAATAAAAGCAGTTGTTAAACATTGATAGAAACTTAGTATGCAAGTTTCATCAGCTCCCAAACGTTGCAAAATTTAATTTGGTGACATAAGCTTTTTTTAGCACAAATCATCTAGCTCTTAACTATAGCAATGGATCTGAAAGGAGCCCTGTGTTTCAATTAGTTGACATCGTCTGATAGCCTCTTAAAGCATTTCATAAGTAGGTCAGTAAAAAATGTTTTATGTATTCTTTGCATCAGATTAATGCTCTTATGGAATTTTAATTTCTAATTTTATATATAGTAAAGATTATACATATCTTGATGGAAGATCTTGGTCAATAATTATTCCAAGGTGACCATGCCAGACTGACCACTGGAGGGGTAACTATGATTTTCAATGAGATTGTTGGATTTTGTGCATGATTGAGTCAATTGTAATTCTTGGCGCACAAACTTAAAAAAAATGTAATATTATGTACACACAAATGCATACATATATATAGATATACTTGAAGGGCAGTGGGTTTGGCACTATCCACTAAAATCACTGTGGGAAGTGGTGGTGTAGTGGTAATGTCTCTGGGCTAGAAATCCAGAATCCCAGGCTAATGTCCTGAGGACATGTTCCAATCCCACCTTGGCAGGATGGTGAAATTTGAATCTAATAAAAATCTAGTCTAACGGTGACTACATAACCACTGTCAATTGTCATATATTTTAAAAATACCTGATTCACTAATGCTCATCAGGGAAGGAAATCTGCCATGCTTACCTGCTCTGGCCTACACATGACTTCAGACCCACAGCAATGTGGTTGACTCTTAATTTAATTAGAGTTAGCAATAAATGCTGGTCTAGTGACTGTTACCCATATCACACGAATAAATTTTAAAAATTAAGTAGTTTAATGTACTTAGTGTCCGGCTTAAGAATAAGTACAGGGGAAGCTTATGGGAGTAAAAACATCATCAGTGTAGGCTATAGTATTCCAGAAGTTAACAAAATAGATGCAGGGAATGCAATGGTAAGAATGATCAGAAGATTCCATGACATGTGAAAATAGGTTTCACCAGGAAAGAGTATGATCCATGGCTAAAAGTAAAATGACTGCTGTCACGAAACAAATGTTTTGGCTTGTACCTCACTCCTTCGAAATTGTCTTGTCAGTTGTTCAACAATCTAGCTCTAGGTACATTCTCCACCTTCCTTTACATGAATAAATGTAAATACAGTCAGTGGATTTGGAGATAAGCCCTATTCATTTATTGCAACTTCAATCAGTAGCCCCAGGTATTCATGATAGCAAATTTAATTCAGCAGATTCAATCCAACTGGTAAAGTGGAAATATAAGGATATTTTAATGCTTACTTTTAGCATTGTCATGGTATCATAATGAAAGCAATGAACATCCTTAAAACTGTCAGTTCACATAGCTCCACTGATAATACTTGCATTAAAAAAGCCAAAACAGACTAAGTGGCCATGATTTCTATAAATATTGAAGGATTTATTATAACTCACTTTCTTGATTATCTCCTCAGGTATTCCACGAATTCTGGAATAGTAGTATAGGTGTTCCCAGCCGGTCAAGAGACCATCCAGGGCATCATATTGGGGACAATAGCCAATCAGAGACCCATCAATATGCGTGTTTATGATGTCTTGTTCAGACCTGGTTATAAAGCAGCAAACATGCCCACACTGAATACATTGTACACAGAAGAAACCAACACATACTTTTAATTAATTAAAGCTTAATTAATGAAAACTTAATTAAAACTTCATGGTTACTATGATTCCCAATTCCGGGCACTCAAGGGATATGAAGGAGATGTTAATTTGAAGTGGCAGGAGTGCTTTGGACAAAAAGGGCATTGAAACAGGAGAAATACCAGGACCCATCATTTCTCTCTTTGGCCCTGGACCAGGAAAGAAAGTTGAGGAAAAAGCTTTAAGGGACTAACAAATAGGTCTTATATGCAGGTTAACTTAGAGATGTTATGATAGGAAATAGGAGACACATTTTAGAAAGATGCAAGTTCATGCTAAGAGGAGATTTAAAAGAGATTTAGTCTAGTTAGCTTGGGGAAGGGAGGGAAGCAGAGGAGAATAACTTGATCAGATAATCTCAATATATAAACAAAGAAATTCATGAGGTTTTAAAACTTATTGTTGGAGGTGAGTTTGGAGGAGGGAGGGGAAAAAGATTTAACAAGATGGATTGCAGTTAATATAGACACTAGAGGTATTCTTTTCATTCCAGATGATCGTGGAATACCACAGTTTTAGCAGACTACAGCAAGATTCATTAGTGCTGTATGTGGTCCAGCCAATTCTGGGAGTGAATGCAAAAATCTGTTGTCCATCAAGTCAGTTCAAGTCTGCATGCCTTGCACTCAAGAGTGCAAAGATGGAAGCTATAACAGGAGTGGCAGAGAATATAATGGATTTGGTGGGGACAGTGAAATCAAAGATGAAATTGAGGTAGGGTTTGGACATGGAAGGGGCTGTTGATATAAAAAGATACAAGGAAGTAATTAGTATTGGCCTTATTCATGACTGATATAATGGCAAGGCCAAGGGGTAGTTATGAACATGAGTTAGGGAGTTTACACGGAGGGTTGAACAAGGGGGAATAAGTAGACAGTTGGCTCGGACTAAAGTGAATATCATGAGTTAAAATGGAAATTAAAATCATAAGCAATAAGAAATCACTGAGTACAGATGCTGAAGGAGGAAAGCATTGAGGTACCTTGGTGACAAGATTTTTGTGATAATTGCGTGAATAGTAAAGAATGGGCATGTCAATGTGCTAATGTACTGCACCAACCTATCAGGTATTAGCTGTATTCTTATTAAAGCAGGTAAATGGAGGAACAATAGAATGCTTCAAAAATGGTGATTGAAAACTAATCTATAAGGGATAAAGTGAGAAAAAAATCATTATTTGAAAAGTGCAAACAAAAATGTGTCTCTTGGTTTCAGTGTTGCATTCATAAATTCAATCATGAGTGAAAGCTTAAGTTACATAGATCATCTGTAACAGAAAAGTTTTAGTGAATCAACATGAACAATAGTCATCTAATTTTAATTAATGAAGATGCCAGGACCAGAGAATGAAAAACTGACAGGCTATTTAATTACCCTGCAGCAGTCCTGATAATTGCTTGGCCTGAAGATGGTCTTATGTCTCCTGTCAGCATTTTGAATGTGGTAGTTTTCCCAGCCCCATTCACACCGAGGAGTCCAAAACACTACACAAAAAGAAAGAGAAATTACAAGGTTTAAAACTGAGAAGTATTGATGTACATAGTGCAAAAACAAAAAAGATTCATAAGTACGTTTCTACTAAACTAATTATGGTTAAAATATATTCATCTTTTGTGGAACTATATCCAGGATGCAGATCATTTGTCTTCCGCATTAGGCTAGGAAATAATAACTTGTTGCCACCAGTTACGGTTTCTCCTTTACTCAACTTGAAGTGTATTTCTGAGTGGAAGACTTCAGGAAAGTAATTCCTTTTGCAATCATGAAACAACAGGTCAAGAAAAGGGAATTTAGGAGAGATACACAAGTAGTAGGAAAGTGCTTGGTAGTGTATTCCACTAGAAGTTGGAAGATATTTTCTGTATGTATGGACCTCTAATAGCTCAATTTCTCAAAGTATCTTTAAGAATCAAACAGAAAGTCAGAAATCTAGATGAAAAGACAATTTACAGAATCACAAATTAGGGTACAGGTGGTCATTGTGCACACTTAAGCTTAGATTTTCCAATTAGCAGTCTAAGTCTGGGTGCTGGCGTGTTCAGTGGTTACTGACTCCCAGCATTTGTTAATGCAAAAGCTCATTGGACTGATCTCTGAACAATTTGTAAAGAATTGACTGGCGAACTGATAAGTGAATTGCAGGCTTCAGTGTTGAAGTCCTGCCTTACCAAAAAAATTGCTGCCAATTGAGGCTGGCAGAATCAAGATTTAAGAGATCATTACTCGAGGCCAAGTCTTCATGGAGTCCAATAGTGAGAAAATGTTGGGATCAGAGACAGGGGCAATCACTCACTTAAACCGCATCCCTCTCCCAAGTTGCCCCATATATTAGGGCAAATGGACCCACAATCCCTACTCCCCACCATTACAACAATCCAGAATAAAAGATATTCTGGTTTCCCAGTCACTTTTTCTTGCTGCTGCTGTAGCTTTTTAACCATGTTGATGGAACCAAACAATTTAAAATTTATCTTTACCTCTCCTGAACGCACCCCCACTGTAACTCCTTTCACAGCATTAACTTTCTTGTTTAGTGTCTGGTAACATTTCTTTAAGTTGCGTATCTGTAACATGTCACTGCTTGCTTCTCCATTCAGAACTCGTCCACGTTCTTTCTTCACATCTTCATCTTCATCTTCGTTGTCACTGGCTGTACCATGCAGGGAATCCTTGTTGCTGAAATTGCCAAAACATCTTGTATTTTGTACATCATGAAACCCAATCTAAATGTACACAGTTATTTTGAACTTAGAACAGCACTGAACAGTAAATATTACACTCTTGCTCAAAAATATGTGGAAGGTCAAGCTCAGCAACTGTATGCCAGTCAGTTTAACCTCAGTGGTGGGGAAACTTTAAGAAAAGACAATTTGGGACGAAATAACAATCACTTGGGCAAAAGCAAGTCTATGAAGAAAAACCAGCATGGATTTTCTAATGAAAAATTGTGTTTAAAGAACTTGCCTGAGTTTTTGATGAGGTAATAAAGAGGATAGAGGAGGGAGGTATGGTTGAAAAAGGTACTTGGTGAAGTACCACACGACAGACTTGTGAGCAAAGTTTGATTGCATGGAATAAAAGGGATAGTTGGCACATGATAGAAAATTGGCTGAAAGAATGAGAGAGAGAGGGACAGAGGCTGGATGAGGCAGGTGAGGGAGGCTGCAAAGGAGAGAGAACAAGTTCAAACCTGTCAATAAAGGAACACTGGAAAACTTGAAAGTCACTGAGGGAATGATACTTGCAAATGAATGTGAATCTCCAGGCTGCTTATAGTCAGGAGCTACTCGATGGGTCAAAAAAAATATAATGGATGCTCCTATAATGAATATTATGTGTCAATTGATAAATTTAAATCTGAGACTGAAATCTGTGATGCAATAAAAATGGTAGTAGCTATCTGGTTAACATATTCCAACTTTGTAAATATGCAATGTAAATGCATTTGCTGTGACTTCAACTGTTTAGAAGTGCATTTAGAGTAATGCATTTTTGTTTGTAGAAGTGTGCATCAGTTAATTTGAAAAAAATCTTGGTTGTTAAATTATGTTTGTTTTAAGCCAATTTAGATACTATAGAATCTAAAAAAAAAATCCCTTGTGTGTTATGACATGAATTTTAATGGTGGGTTCATAATTATTGAGGATATTTCTGAATTCTTCCAATTCTGCTTCTTTTTAAATCCAAACACATAACACATCACCAAGATAGAAGTTAATGGTTTACATGATTGCAGCAGTAAAGAAGTTCATGAGAATCAAAAAGTAGCCCTTGAGAAATTCTCAAAAAAAGCCCTCCAAAAAATAAGAGATAGTAAGAACTGCCGATGCTGGAGTCAGAGATAACACAGTGCGGAGCTGGAGGAACACAGCAGGCCAGGCAGCATCAGAGGAGCAGGAAAGTTGACGTTTCGGTTTGGGACCCTTCTTCAGAAAGTGTCCGACCCGAAACGTCAGATTTCCAGCTCCTCTGATGCTGCCTGGCCTGCTGTGTTCCTCCACCTCCAAAAAATAATTTATTTTGTGTCTGTTGTGTATGTTGTAGGTTCAACTTTTTTTTTCTCATAACATTTATTTGAAGTCATCCAAGTACAATGAGTGATTGGCTTCAGTGTTTTTTTTGTATTTGAGCACTTTTACAGGATGATTCTCCCATTTTTGTAGCCGGTGATGTGGAAGGCAGCTGATCTTTCAGAGTATTTGAGATTGCATTGAGTGGCAACATTGAGCACTCTGAGTCAGAGCAGATTGTTGTATTACAGCATTGATGACAGCAATCTGAGCCAACGAGCTGTGTGAAACCAACAAAGATCACAAGCTGACAAGAGAGCAGGTCATAGCATTTTTATATCATGGAAAGAGGCCCTTCAGCCCATCATGTTCATGTCAGTCATCAAACATCCATCTATTCTAATCCCATTTCCAACACTTGGCCTGTAGCCTTTTCTGCGACAATGATTCAAATGCTTATCTAAATAGTTTTTAAGGTTTCCCACATTACCGCCCTTTCAAGCAGTAAGTTTCAGATACCCACCACTCTCTGGAAGTTAATAGTTTTCATGAAAACCTCTCTAAACCTCCTATACCTTACATTAAAATTGTGCCTACTAGTTATTGACCCCCCTCTGCTAAGGGGAAAGGTTTTCCCCATCTACTCTGTTTGTCCCTCAGAACTTTGTACACCTCAATCAGATCAGCCCTTAGCCTTCTCTGTTCTAAGGAAAACAACCTAGTATCTCATCATAGCTGAATCTTTCCAACCCAGGTAAAATCCTTCCAACAGTATGGTGACCAGAACTTACGCTGGACTCCAGCTGTGGCCTAACTAACATTATATACAGCTCTACCATAATCTCTTTGCTCTTGTATTCAATGCCTTATCTAATAAAGGTAAGTATTTGGGGCAGCATGGTGGCACAGTGGTTAGCACTGCTGCCTCACAGCGCCAGGGACGCAGATTCGATTCCACCCTCGGGTGACTGTCTGTGTGGAGTTTGTATATTCTCCCTGTGTCTGCGTGGGTTTCCTCTGGGTGCTCTGGTTTCCTCCCACAGTCTAAAGATGTGCAGATTAGGTGGATTAGCCATGCCAAATTGCCCATGGTGTTCCAGGGGTGTGTAAATTAGATAGATTAGACATGGGAAATGCAGGGGTACAGGGAAAGGTTAGGGGAATGGGGATGGGTCTGGGTGGGATACTCTTCGGAGGGGCAGTGTGGACTTATTGGGCTGAATGGCCTGTTTACACACTGTAGGGATTCTATGATATCCTAAGTATCCCTCAAGCCTTCTTAATCACTTTATCTACCCGTTGCGCTGTCTCCAAGGATCTTTGGACATGCACAATAAGGTCCCACTGATCCTCTGTACATCCTAGGGTTCAATGTGTACTCCCTTGCTTTGTCAGTGCTCCAAAAATGCATCAATTCTCACTCTTCAGGAATAAATTACATTTAACACTGTTCAGCCCATTTGACCAGCCTACCCATAGATTCCTGTATTCTAAGGCTTTCCTCCTTGTTATTTACCGTACCACCAATTTTCACATCATCTGCAAACTGACTGATCATTAATGTACACAACAAACAGCAAGGGACATAAAACCAAACCGTGTGATGCACCAATGGACACAGGCTTCCAGTCACAAAAACAACTTTCCACCATCACCCTCTACTTCTTGTCATTTTGAATCCAATCTGCCAAATTGCCCTGTATCTCATGTGCTTTTAGCTTCTCAACCAGTCTGTCATGCAAGACTTTATCAAAACCGTTACTGAAGTCTATGTAGTCTACACTAACTGCATTACCCTTATCGACACAGCCAGTCACCTCCTCAAAAAATGCAATCAAAATTTATTCAACGTGATCTCCCCGTACGAAATTATGTTGACTATCCTTGATTCATCCCTGTGTCTATAAGTGGAGATCAATTCCATCCCTCAGAATTTTTTTCTGATAGTTTCCCTACTACTGACATTAGACTCATCGGCCTGTAGATACCTGCTTTATCCCTATCACTCTTCTTGAATAAGAGTACCACATTAGCCATCCTCCAGTCCTCTGGCACCGCTCCTGCGGTCATACAGGATGTAAAAATTAATTTCCAAACCCCTGCAATCTCATCACTGCCTCTCACAGTAGCCTTGGATAAATGTCGTCTGGTCCTGGAGATTTATCCACTTTTAAGCCTGCTAAAACTGCTATTAACTCATCCCTATCAATGCTATTTTATTCAAATATATCACAGACCCGTTCCCTGATTTTTACACCTATATTGCCCTTGTCTATTGTAAATACAGGTGCAAAGTATTCAATTAAAATCTCAACTGTGTCTTCTGGCTCCACACATAGATAGGGCTAATGGGCCCTACCTTTTCCTTGGCTATTTTCTTGCCCCTATTGTACTTTTAAAATGCTTTTGGATTTTTCTAAATGTTACTTGCCAGTGTGTTTTTTAGGTCTCCCACTTTGCTCTCTTAATTTCTTTTTTGAGCAATCCACTGTCTGCATTTTTTATACTCCTTTGAGATACCTGCTGATTTGAATATGTGGTATCTACCATAAGCTTCCATTTCTATTAGAATCATAGCATCATAGAGATGTACAGCGTGGAAACAGACCCTTTGGTCTCGCTCGCCCCTGCCAACCAGATATCCTAAATTAATCTAGTCCCATTTGCCAGCATTTGGCCCATGTCCCTCTAGACCCTTCCTATTCATATTTATATACCCATCCAGATGCCTTTTAAATGTTGTAATTGTACCAGCCTTCCCTACTTCCTCTGGCAGCTCATTCCATACACTCACCACCCTCTGCATGAAAAAGTTGCTCCTTGGGTCTCTTTTAAATCTTTCCCCTCACACCTTACCATCCTGCTCATATCTTGACATCAAGCATTCTCTGGACTTTTTGGTCCCACCCTTCACTTTTAAAGGAACATGTTGGTGCTGAACTCTCACTATTACCCTTTTGAATTGTTCCCTACTGCTCTGATGTCGATTTTTCTGCAAGTAGCTGTTTCCAGTCCACTTTAGCTAGATTCTGTCTTATCTTATTAAAATCGGCCTTCCCCCAATTCCAAACCTTTATTTCCAGTCCACCTTTGTCCTTATCCATAATCACCTTAAATCTTAATGAACAAGGTCACTATCTGCAAATGCTTTACTTCATAGGTGGAAAGATTGAGGAAATACTTGAACCTGGAGAACTGAAAGCAGCAGTTATTGCTCCTAGCAAAACTGTCTGAGCTCTCAGTGATAGTAGGAACTGCAGATGCTGGAGAATCTGAGATAACAAGGTGTA